CTGGATAATATGAGACAAACATCAAAAATGAGAATGAAAGAAAGAATGTAAAACACGCCTAGAAAAACAATGCTGATGAGTTTTCCATATGAAAAGGACCAGGTTTGTAAAATTAAGTATATCAAACAAAAAAAATTTAATCACAAAACACTTTAAACCGTTGATCCTGAGATTGAAAAGCTCGCTATATAACTGTTAATTGATGAGTATTACTGATATTATACATAACCAAAAAAAGCCAGAGAGAGCTTTCAAGTGCAGTTACTAATTTCAGAATTAGTAAAGTATCTTTCACCTTCCAATATCTATTTCTGTTCTTAGTATCTGAATATCAATCTATCTTAACAATACCATGCCGACACAGACCTCAAGAACTCTCAAACACAAAAACACTCTGTATGGAAACTGTTGTCCACAATAACCTATTTCTTCTATTAAAACATTATAATATATAACATGATATTCCTTGAAGGTCATTAGAGAATTTAGTAAAATTTTGTTTTAGGAGAAATGTATACCTTTTTTTCACAAGAACTTCAGCAAAATGGATGTGACACTGATACTTCCCGACCTACAATTTGCCCAAATGTCACTACAAAAATACATTAACATTAAGCTGAAGCATTCCAATCCACTAAGCAGAAAATCAAAATCAATTTATCTAGTTGAAGACAAGTTTACAAAATTAGTTACCACAAAGACTTTTGGCTTAGCTCTTTAGCAGTGTCTCTCTTGGAAAGATAAATTTATAATAAAACATGATTCATAAACATTATGCTAATATATGTTCGTATACCTAGACACTTATAAGAAGAATTAGTAAATTCTGTCCCCTTCACATCACTTAAGAATATACACCCTGGCACTAAAACAGAGGTCACTAAAGCTCATAACTCCCTTTGCAGTGTTCAAACATTAATGTTCAAATTTCAACACTCACATGCATAAAAGAAAAAAACATGCATAACAACTCAGGTGTACATGAGAATCAAACACTGTTTGAGTGACAATAACTTTACGGGGTAAGCCGTGAAATTGATGTCTTATCATAACCTTTACCAAAATTATTTTTGTATCTAAAATGGAGAACCAGTTACAGTATTAGTGGTGGTAGTGATGATGACTATGGGGAGTTTGACGAAGATGATGAGAATGATGACCCAATGGATCTCAGCAACAGGAATGTCTTGTCATCAAAAAAAAACTGACTATGGGGTGGGTGTTGGAACGTCTAGTCAATGGAAAATGTGGCCGAGGGTATTTGAAGGGAACATCTCAACGAGGGATACTGTAGCCAAGGAGCAGATGATGTGATTGTCTCATCAGGATTTTGTTGTACATTTGCAGGACAGGAAATCTGAGTGTGTTATGCCTGGGGTTTCCGGAAGGACAGTGTGCAATTACTGATAAGTGGTTTTGTGCTAATATGGTGGCTTTCAGGTGTACAACATCTATGAGACATACCTGAGTGTGGTACACCTGAAAGCAACCTCAATATACTCATGTACATATTTTACTTTGAAAAAATAAATGTGAAGAAGAAAAAATATTTTGTTTTTCCTACAACAACAAATATTATGTGTATTGCAAAAAGTGTACATTCCATGGAGTGATATGTAGTGTAATCAATGAAATTAGCCTTTTTCCTACTTTGATACAACTTAAAAAAAACAAAAAAACAGCAACAACAATAGTTAACAATACAAAAATGTAAAGAACCAAGAATAAAAACCACAAACTGCACAACAAAAACAGTCTATTATCATCTTCATGCAGTATAACAAATGACAAATACAAACTTTGGTAAAAAAAAAAGGCAAAACAAAAGGAAAAGCAAAAGGGTTAATAGAACTGCCAAGAGGAGGCAAGTAAGTCTTAATAGTGCCTGAGGGCTGGTTCTGCAACCACACACCTGGCAGAACACTACTCTATTAAGCCTTTTGCCTGGATTTTGGTCTGTGTCCTAGCCAAAAGGATCATGATGATATGGTGATGACAATACTCATTTTGATTATATAATGATGTTCTCAAGAAAATCCTCCCTAAAAAAGAATCCTTAACCCACTGCCGCCAGGGAAAACTAATAAAAAACGGGGAAAATACCGTGCTCATTTTTAATATTCCTTATGAAATGGCTCTGCCTTACCTAATTTCACCTTTCCTTGAATTGGTGGGAAAATGTATTTTTTACTTGTGCTATGAATATCAATGGTGTTATTTTTATTATAAACATTATAATTACTATAGTGTTATAAACATTAGTAATAGCAAAATAAGATAACGTAAAATATTTTCGTAGATTAAAAAAAAAGGGTAAACGGGCAAGGCAGGCAGTACTCGTAACTGGCTCATTGGTGACTTAGTTCAAGTGTAGCCATCTATGTGTTAAAACAATAATAACAAGTAAACTCACAGTGGGCATATCACGTATACGTGACAGCCTGTCACAAATGGGTTAAAGAAAAGGGTAAATGGGCGATACAGGCAGTACTCGTAATTGGATCATTGGTGACTTAGTACAAATGCAGTCATCTATGTGTAAATAAATTAAACAAGTAAACTCACATTGGGCATGGCATGGATGTACGAGACATGCCCATCGTGAATGGGTTAAAAGAAAAGCCCCAAAACAACTTTTGTAAGTATAGAAGTTCATGATAAAAAAATGTTCAAAAACAGTTGAAATAATACTACAAAAGCACTAAAAGTTGCAGAATAATATTTGCAAGCAATAAACAAACATTATCAATGATTAGCATAAAAAAATAATAATGATAATAATAAATGTACCATTACTAATGATGATATCAACAACAATAATTATGATAATAAGAGTAATAATAATAATAATAATAATAATAATAATAATAATAATGGTAATAATAATAATAATAATAATAATAATAATAATAATAATAATAACAATAATAATAATAACGATAATAATAATAATAATAATAATAATAATAAAAATAACAATAATAATAATAATAACAATAATAATAATAATAATAATAACAAAAAATACAATGATAATAATAATAATAATAATAATAATAATAATAATAATAATAATGAAGTTGAAAAGATAATAATGATAATAACTATAGTATATAACTATAATAGAAATAATAAAAATAAACAAATAAATAAAAGTAGTAATAAAAAAAATAATAATGAAAATAATAACAGTACCAACAATAATGATGACTATGATGATTTTATCATCATTATTTTTTAATCATCACACATATAACATATGATATTGATTTTTTTTTCTATTACAATCAATGATCATCATCATCATCATCATCATCATCATCATCATCATCATCATCATCATCATCATCATCATCATCATCATCATCATCATCATCATCATTATGAAGAAAGAAAAAAAAATAATAACAACATTGTGTGTCAAAGAGAGAAAGGTGGTAGGGGGCTCATAAGTTGTGAGGAATGTATAAAGAGTGAAGAAAACAACCTAGCTTGGTATATAGAGAATTCAAATGAAAAGTTAATTGCAGGTGTAAAAGATACGGACGGAATTGAGAATGAAAGCACAAAAAGGCAAGGTTGAATTTAAACTAAAGAACTAAGGAACAGGACCCTAGGGCAATGGAAGGAGAGAATGTATGGCCAGTTTATAAGAGAAATGCCAGACACAACAAACAAAGAGAAAGTATGGGAAAGGTTAAGGAAATACAGACCTGAAGGTGGAAATGGAAGTGTTGACATGTGCAGCCCAGGAACAGGCACTTAGGACAAATCATGTCAAGTATGCTATTGACAGGAGAGCCAACTCCCCTTTATGCAGAATGTGTGAAAAAGGTGAAAGCATTGGACATATTGTTCATGACAGTAAGAAAATGGCTCAAAAAGAATACAACAGACAGAATGACAACAATGCCTGGATTATACAATGAAAAATACAAGTCAGAGAGAGATCCTCCCAGAGTGTAAGTGAAAATGAGGAATGTATGATGTTGTGGAATGTAAGTATTCAGTATGACCACATAATAGAAGCAAGACAACCAGAGATTGTTACAGTTGAAAAAAGGAAGAAGAAATGTATGATAATAGATATTGCTGCTCCTGAGGACAACAAGGATACATGAAAAAGAATCGGAGAAAGTTGAGAAATACCAAGATCTTAAAAGAGAAATTGCTAGATGTGGATAGTACGGAAAGTTGGTTCGCTTGCTCGCCCGTTTACCCTTTTCTTTGATTTACGAAATATTTTACGTTATCTTATTTTGCTGTTATTAATGTTTATAATATTATAGTAATTATAATGTTTATAACAAAAATAACACCAGCAATATTCAAAGCACAATTAAAAAATACGTCTTCCCGCCAATTCAAATCACGTAAGGTCACAAGTTCTACTAATTGACTCCTTTGTGGCTAAGTACTAGCAGAGCCATCTATGTGCAGAGACATTTCACAAAAATATAGAAAATGAGCATAGCATTTTCCCAATTTTTTATTCATTTTCCTCGGTGGCATTTGGTAATAGGATGTGTGACCAAGAATACTGAAAGGTGGTTGGAGAAATTGGGAATCATTATAAGAAGTGAGTTACTACAAAAGATAGCATCACTAGGAATATCAAGGATGTTGAGAAAAGTAATTGAAACCTAAGGTCTACAGAAAAAAGCTGCTCTCTTCTAATTGTGATGACCTTAACCCCTTGGTGCCGGGTATGACGTATACGTATGTGCTATGCCCACAGTGAGTATTTGTTTGATTATTTTTACGCATGGATGGCAACACTTGTACTAACTCCCCAATGAGCCAGTTACGAGCACCACCCGTCTCGCCCGTTTACCCGTTTCTTTGATTTACAAAATATTTTACGTAATCTTATTTTGCTGTTACTAATGTTAAAAAAAATCATAAAAATTATAATGTTTATAATAAAAATAACACCATCGATTTTCATAGCACTAGTGAAAAATACGTTTTTCCCGCCATTTGAATCAGGCGCTAGCAGA